GCATATGGCGATGAGAGAATCAATCAAAAAATCAATGATCGAGCGAACGAAAGAATGTGTGAATTAATGAACGGAAGATATGGTACAGAACAATTAAGCGATGATCAAGAACTTTGGGCCGAGTCGAGACTGAATTTAGGAAGATGAAATGTAACCTTAAAGCAAAAAAAAGCTAAAACCATTGTTTCCGTTATTGAATCAATTCAATGAAAAAGTACGATTTAAGTGTATGTCCATGTAAGAAGAAATTTCCAAAAATTCAGGGAACTGATTTTGATCTTACTGATTTACGTTTGCACCTTGTGCCGATTTTTAATCAGCTATTTGTGGGTGAATCAAAGCGAACTCTAGATCTAAGGTATAGTAGCAGACAGTATGGTGTATTTTCGTTCGCCTTGGCATGACCCTACAGAAGTACCATGTCATCCCTCTTATTCTTAGGCTGGTTACACCGAAGCAAGGTAGAATGATTTTTTTCCTCAATGGAATTACTGGTTAACAAGGGAAAATTTACACTGCGGGCTCGGTCTGAACCCGATCGGCATCTCTAAAGTGACCAGAGCAATCTACTGATAACCCATGATGCGACTGCGGAAAAAATTTCAGTCTGTATTAAAATTTAACCTTAGAGATAACAAAATTTACATATTAATCTTTCTACTTCATATTCTTTCATATAGAGAATATTTTGGCGACAGTCGGGGACTAAACAAAGCCAACCAGCTGCAGGTTGTTACAGATTTGCAAATCAATAAAAAAACTAAAAATGTTTATGACACCCATCTTGGAGAATAAAATGAAGAAATCAAAAAATTTTTATCCCGCATCGATCTTCATGCAAAATAAAGTGAGCCGTGGTGCAGATTTAGTCGTAAAACTTAATACAGCGTATCGCCAAGTCGCCAGAGAGCGACAGCGGTGGAAACGTTTCAGTAACAATTGCGACGAGCCGCTGCGTCGCATCATCAATGGCCAACGCAGCCGCGTAACGAACGATCAACGAAAACGGAGAATCCAGGGAAACAACCGTTTGCGGAAGAAACGTTTAGAAAGTCTTGAAGACATCCCACAAACTGTCCCCCCCCCCACAGACACTTCCAACACTCAAGAAAAAACCGTTGGACGAAATGAAGTAAAGAAGTAAATAAAAGTAAGTGGAGAACGTTTAACCACTAGAAAGTGTTTCATAATAAAACATTTCTCTATCGTTAGTTTAAATAATGTAACAGGGAATGCGAAATGCACAACCACTATGATTCCTCCACAAGATTTGCAACTATTTTCATCTCATCCTCCGAAAATTGCGCCTTAATACGCCAGAAATTTCCTCTGAAAACAACATTTATTACTGTACAAAGCATAAGCCACGGGCTTTATTAAAAATGAACTTGTTAAAGTTGTAAATGCTTCATTAAAATGTTTCCAAGAACCTAGTTTACAAAATAAAAGGTACATTTTTAAGCAAATATCGGCCCATCGATTCACCATCCCTTGGATAGCAGGAATGCTAACGAGATAATAAGCTTGTATCAATAACCGATCCATACTAATTTCGTTAACGTATATCATTAAGTTTAACTTCGAAACCACTAGCGACATATTTACTCTTTGATGGGAATTAATCAATTCAAGTGTGCGGCTAAAAAAGTATGAGATCTGAAAGCGACGTCGACGACGTCGAGTACAGACAACATCAATAACTGAAACGAAGCAAACGCAATGCGTAAAAACAGCGCCCCAAAAAAACAGGATTTAACGTGCCAGGCCGTGAAAACGATCTGAAAGTCAGATGAGGAAAAATTGTGTTGTCTTCATCGTTGGCGAACGAACTGCGAGAAAGAAAAGAAGGTTAGTAAACCGGTAATCGACTGGAATGTCAGTCATAAAATAAATAAATTCAAACGTTGACTGCTCAGGGTAGAACACAAAACTCTCACGGGCAACATTTCAGCAGTCACATTACCCACTACTACTATACAACACCTGAACAAAAATAAACAGAATACTGACACATGGGAATATGTCAAATAACGCACATATCATCCAAGATCAGTACTGGCGTAATACAGTGAAATCTGGTGTTGAAGAAACCAT